TGCATTGCAAGAGGGAAGGTTACACTGATTTAGACAGATCACTGTAACCTGTGGCTACAGCTGTAATGAAAATTACCCATGATGCAATTTCCCTGCAGGATTATTAAAGTTGTTTTTTTTATGTGAATTAAAATTCTGATTACTGCCACCATAATGAGCCAACTGTTTGTATTCTTTTTTTGCCACCATGCAGTGAGACTAAAGCGACATTATTGTTGCAAATGGAATCTTTGTGACATGTTACGCTTTCAATTTTATACAAAAGATAAGCTTCACTGAGGATCTTTGTCATTCTCAGATTCAGACAAGCAGGGATCAAACTCTTTTCCAGGCAAGTCTTTTTCATTGCTTAATAAAGTAGGCCTCCCTCAAACATTTGTGTTCCATTTTTCAGCTTTTACATTTCAGCCAGTGATCTATACTCATTAAATATCTGCAACTGGCTTCCCGCTAACAGCGACCAAAACTGCATCGGTTGTTTTCTCCTTCTGTATACGAGTTGTGACAGCCAGCAATTGTACTGAAAAAAGAAAAAAGAAAAATGCAATATACCGCAAAATAAAATGTTATCAAAGATGTTTTTGTAGAATATGAATACCAGTGTTATTTTGTGACCTATAAATGGTTAATATTACATTGGCCATGGTAAAATATTTAACTTACACCTATTAGTAGTATTGAGACTGGTATGGCATGCAGTCTGGTTGCTCCATGCAGATTTTGGGGGTAAAAATGGCTTAAAATTAATCTTGTGATGGTGAAAGTAGCTAAGCAATCGATAAAGCATGGTTGTCTATAAATCACTAGTGATCAATAGCCAAAAATACACTCACAAAATACACTCACACACACCTTTGGTCAAACTAAGTCTGCACCAGCTGGGATGTCGGCTGAAATCCTGAAATCAGACACACACAAAAACAAAAAAACAAAACAAAAAGCCTTACTTTGTGGGATAACTCTGGAGTTAAAATGTTCTGCAGGTGGTTTTTAATTCTTTTTCATTCCCTTTTATCACCTCAGCGGTTTATTGTTTACCATGTTGCTAGCCACAAACACTGCCAAAGTCCATCTAAGATTGCATGGAAATATATGCTATTTTTAGGCATATTACAACTGAGCCAGGGAGTATATCATAAGCATGCAATTCCTTTATCTTACTCTTGTATCTCTGGAGGGTTTTTTTAAGCTAATTAAAACGTGGTCAGGAAGCCGGGGCATTTGCTTTCAATATGTGTCCCATTTAAGGCCGTGAGTAGCTCAGTTTGCGGAGTATTGTTGAGCAAACACGTGATGTTAGCTGGGTTGTACATATGATGCACTCCTAACATTAGACTTGCATTTCTGAAAGAGATGAGTCACTCCCCGACCCTGACGGAGAAAACATGCAATGTTAATGCTGCCTCTCTGGGCTCATGAAACTCTTGCAAAAAAAAAAAAAATTGGAGTAATCTAAGGAGTTTCACTTTCTTATTAAATAAAGATTTATTTAAAAAGAAATTTTGAATGAGTGTTTTATGAGATATTTAGTGCCAGTCACTGTCTTCAAAAGCAGAGATCACATTGCAGGAAGTGTAGCTACTATGAGGGGTCAAAATTCTGTTAAATGCTGGACAAAACGTCTCTTGTAGATCTTCTAGAGAAGCTTTAGTAGAGTTGAGTTTCTTCGCAGAACTGTTCTTAAGAGAGATTGACCTGTAAATATTTGAGAAAAGGAAGAGGTGGTGGAATGCCCTACAAAACCATTCAAAACACCAGAGTAAATTTGAACTTTAAAATATCAACTCCGCAATCCAAATATTAGTTTCTATCGGAACAAGAATGCAGTGTGAAAGTTTAGATTCCTTCATAATAACCAAATAATGAAGAAGTTCAGTGAGAGTTCAATTCGGGTGGAAATGCAGTGTGAAAGCTGCAAAAAAAATCTGTCAATGCTGGTAAAGTGTTTTAGTCACATATGCAGTACACAATGTGACAATTCAAGGTCACATAAACCAGCAATCGGCCTATTAACCAATCCAAAAAATTCCAACAATCCTAATCAAATGTAAACCGCAGTTGAATCATACCACAAAAATCTAAAACTAATGATGTGAAAACAGCTGCACGTAATTTACTGGATGCTGAGCCAAAATTATGCTGTGACTCCAGTAAAGATACTAATGAAATGAAATTTGTATGGTCAGTAAATCCATTTATTTAGGCCATGAAGTGATAAGGATGAGGTCAATGAGTAACAGTAATAGGTGAAAGTGCAGCAAAGATTCATTACAGTAACTACACTGACTAACAAATGTGGCTTTAAAACATTCCTGAAATATTTACTTGGGCTCTTAAACCTGCTTTTATTGAAATATCGTAGACAGCAACGGCAGGCTGTAAAATTTTGACCAGGCACACCTTAAATCTAGATAAGTTAACAAAACAATGCAGTTCTTAGGTTGGCAAACTTAAGCACCAGGTAAAGAGGTGGGCAAGAGTGAATCAGGAAATAATACCAGGTGATGTAATTAGAACACCTGTTGTTCATTTGCTAATTAACTTCTTCTCTCATTCAGTTTGGTGCTGGGAGCTGAGAAAACACTGCTGCCTGCCAGTTTACAAGAAGTCTGAGTTATGGGTTATAGAGTGCGACCTGGGACCTGAGCATGTCCAGCGGGGCATGTAATTCGAGTATAGACTATCTCTGTCTAGGTGAACCCACAAGTAGTGAAGTCATGTGTGACGATTATAGGAGAGTGCCTATTAAATCAACTTAAGTATTCTCAGTTCATCTGAATATATTTTAATGGCTCTCTCTCTTATGAAATGAACTGATCTGAGGAAATAAGTGAACAAGCACTCTTGTATTAACAAAACCCGATGTTTCTCAGTCGTTTTTTAATTGTACAAAGGTGGTGTAGCACTGTAATTCCACTCCCTAAGGCAGACACGAGTAATGCACCTATTTTGACGTCAGTGACGTAGCAGCTCATGATCCATCACAGTTCACGAGTTATTGCAATGTTTGAAGTCCAGATATAAGTGAGAAGTTTTGTTGTCATTGGCTAGCTGCGTAGCACAAACTTATGAAAATTAAAACTCATTAAGGAGTCAAGGAGGCTCACAGTAGGAATTATTGTGAACTGTTGACGGATGAATGATTTGGCATCACAAATGCTTTAATGAAAAGTCCAACTTTACTTACCATATATAAGTATCACCAAGACAACATGATATTTACATTTACATATTCTTTTGGCAGTGAGTCGAGTGTAACTAACACACTTCTGTGTTAAAAAAGTGGATAGTCATGAACCCAGAAACCCATTTTTCTCATGGTGTCACAGCTTTGCTATTTTAACATGAAGGTAAACGAAACCTGAGCAAATAACTCAGGATGACAGAACATAAACAGTAATTTAGCTAGCGCTTATAAGTTCCCACTGCAAACCTGGAACTTCTCTGCCGAGCACACCCACGGACTGGATGTTTTTTGTATTATTGTATATTAAGATAAGATAACCTTTAGTCCTACACGTGGGAAATTTGTTCATTCAATATTCAAATAAGTGCAAACTGTAACAGAAATACAAAAGGCATAAACAGAAAAACTATACTGTTGCATGGCACTATGGAGCAGTTGCTTTCACTATTTATCACAACCAGTGAGGTTCTGTGATTTGTTCAGTTTGTTTCAGATTTCTCACAAAGTTATGAACCGATTTACGTGAAAATCCTGCCAGAGGTGTTTGACCTTGGTTCAGCTTGATTACCGCTGTTTTACAGAGCAACATATATACTGCATTTTATATCATATCTTTGCATATTCAGTTGAGGTAAGATAAAGTGAGAGGCCTCGGTTTGATGTTCTCAGGGAAATATCTTTAACAATAATCTGGATCCGTGTGTTCATACACAAAGAAGGAATCTTCAGCTTTGGTTGGAGGTATCCACTTCTGATGTTGCGGCACTAGTGGGATAAATGGTTACAAAATAAATGGACTAAGCTTTGACAGAAACAATAAGTTTAACTGTGGCCTTATTCATATTTTTAAATTCTGGTAACTGACAACTGGTAGAAATGAATTGATACCTTATTTTGCTTAACAGCATGTTAAAAAAAAGTTGTTTTGTTTTGACTTACGTCCTATGATGACCTTCACAAAAAATTTCTACCACATAAACTGCAGAAAACACTAGCCTAGAGATTACTGCAGTACGTGTAGGCAGTGTTTAAAGCCAGAGATAGACAACATCGTGGACAGAGATAGCTGAAGGAAGAGGGAGATCATTAGTCCATCCCCAAATTATACACAGACGTCACTCTACACTGACGGAGTGCCACATGGAGCTGTTTACACTGTGAAACTCCTTATTTAACTAATGACAGCTCAGTGAATACCAGCTATAAACTGCACATCATCACAAGTCACTCAGAGCTGTAAATAACTGTTATGAACTTAGTGACACTGCCTCTTCCTCATGTTCATTGGCAGCCATAGAAACACAATCCCTCAAAGGAAATTGCCTGTTATCTTTATGAATGCAGAAACAACAATACCACGGAGGCGCATTAATTTTTTTTTTTTAAACACTCCAACACATGCTCTAAAGTTGTGTTTGAAGTGTAACCAATTGTTATACTAACTTCCTTTCCAGCCAAACTCTCCTTAGTGGTGGCGAAAACTGAGATATCGACCAAAAGCAGCAGCTTAACAGAGACTCAGTCAATATCAACTGAAATTCCACTGCTCCGGTTGTATACTGGGGACAATAGTTAAGTGCCCTGCAGGCTCATGCTGCATGTCTTGTCTCCTGAGAGACATTTATCATCAACATGCCGCTGATAGGACCAGGGACAAGCCTTAATAGTTGACTTATTAAAACACAGCTTCTGGTGTAACGTCTCATCCATCAGTGATTGATTGTTGCTTTTAAATATATATATATATATATATATATATAAAAGAACTGTCACATTTATGTTTTTTATTATAAATAATGAAAACATCTCTAGATTCAGATTGTATGGTAAGCATTTTATTTTCCACGAATATAAAACGAAAAAAAGGATTACAGGAGAAAAATTATTAACTCAACCAAAGCAGCTTGCTCACAACCTGACCTTCTTTTCCTTCTCCCTTCCTGTCACAAGCCTCCAAAACACAAATGTGTCACACGAATAGTTCTGTAACTCATCTGCTAAATGTGTGCTCTTACAATATGTAGCGTCTGAGGCTTTTGCTGTGGCTATGGGATCACTCTTCTTGGTATCTTATGTCATAAAAGATGATAGAGGAGTGTGGTCCAGAAAGCACACAGGCACACGCCAGACGCAGTCACCGCCAAATCGCTGATCTGTCGCAACCACTGCTCCCCATTCATGGTAAGCCTTAGATTCCATGCCCCTCTGTAGGTTCTTCCCATGATGCCATCTTGCTCCCTGTTCACGACGACGCCATTGTAGCTTCCAGGTGATGTCCTTGCCCTTAGTGCATTTGTAGGATTTCTGTTCCCTGTGTTAATTTACAAAAGAGGGAGGATGAATGGTTGTAAAGACACTTCCAGCAGCAAACATGACACTGACAGTATATAGATTATTTGCAAATTTGCAAATCATAAAAATGGGTAGTGTAAAGCAATGTATAATGAAACTGCACCATCTTGTGGCAACCACTGGCAATTAAGCGCAGTAGTGAACCACACAAATACTTACCAAGACTGCTCTGCAAAGGCACCACAACAGCAAAGATAAGGACAGAAAGAAGAGATGCATATGCCTACAAAGGATTACAAAGAAGCAGTTCACATTTCCATTCACAAAACAAAACGCCATACTCATGATGAAGATAAAATTAACATTTTTGCATTTTTCAAAAACTGAAGGATGTTAATATTCTGTAGTTTGTGAGTGCAGCGTGTGGTATGTTTCCCCTTACTACACACAGCATGAGTATATCGCCTTATGTTTACCAAGAGGAGCTGTGCACCATTCTGAGTCATTCTCCTCAAGGCTTTTCCCATCTGGAGTCCAAGCAGAGCTAAAGAACAGGGCGTCACTGCCTCTTCACCCTCCATGTCTACACATCTTAGGAGATAAACATGAAAACTGTGTTACATGAGATAAAAAATATAATATAACACGCCCTCATACCTATTTAGAAATAGCAGTAGAAGCCCACATTGAATGAGCAGATTCAAACCACTGACAGATGAATAAAACTGTTATCATATAAAATCATGTTATTGGGAAATGTGTGTCCTGGCATTAATGCGGATGGCAGTTCGTTTGAAATATTCCACTCGTTTAAACATTTTGCAGACGTAGAGTTCTCATTAAAAGATAGACTGCAGCATCACTGTAACATCACCTACTGGGCTGTGGTCTTCTCTTTTGAAGTCTCACCATGAGCATTTTAGCTGTCACTATGCTGTTATTTTGTAAGCAGACATGACAAACAGGGGGTGGATCTGAGTGAGACACCAAGGACACTGCATGCTCATAGCAACTTGTCCATCACAATGTGTCTATATCCTAAAGCATACACTGTGTATTTTATCTTGAATAGAAAAAGAGGTTACATAATAAACCTCATGTATTAAATAAGAGTTGAACTGAGATAATAAATTCTGCCGGAAAATGTCTCGGAGCTGGAGTGTGTATCCCTCTTTTTATGTACTGATGACCCTGACCTCCCTGTCAGTGTGCCCTGCCTCACTGCTTTGATCCAGACTCCTCAGTTTCCGATTCAAGTGAGGATCTGTTGGATGTGCTGGAACAAGCTCCCATCCCCTGAGCCCCCAGGTGCAAGACACCGCAGGATAACCCGGGGGTCTCGTGTTCCTCTGAAAGATCAGAGCTGTTTTAGTTGTACCAGAGCGATGCACCAGTCGGTTATCACTCCTCGAACACTTAAAAATAGCAAAATAGCTGGCATGTCTCAGTTACACAAACAATGTCCTTTGGCTGCAGAGTGTCACTTGCTAGACATGTCAAAAGCATGTCATCAACCAAAAGGGTCTAAAGTATATATTAACCCTAACTACAATCTTTTCCTAAACCTGAAAAGCATGTGAAAGTAAAAGGCAATGGAAACTGAATGAAACAGCAAGTGTGTAAGTGCAAATGGGCATAACCCCCAGCCTGATAAGCCCGCGACTAATGACGCTGCCATCTCTCGAACCTTTTTTTAATGGACTTTGTAAACTGCTAAAATAGGATTATCTGTCTGTTAATGTGTGAAGGCACCAAAGCCAAATGACACCTTATGCATCATGGAGAGATGCAGGCAGTATTTAGCATTTTGACATTTGCATCTTCTTCCTGTGTTTGCGTGAGTTCTCTCCAGGTACTTCAGTCCAAAGGCATGCATGTTAGGTTAATCGGTGATTCTAATTGGCCGTCAATGTAAATGTGAGTGTGAAGGGTTGTCTCTCTCTATTAGCCTTGTGACAGACTGATGACCTGTCCAGGGTGTACCCTGCAAGTTGCCCTTTGACAGCTGAGACAGTCTCCAGCTCCCCCTGCAACCCTGAACAGGATGAGTAAAAGAAAATGGACGGATGGATGGTTCTGACGCTGTGGCTGATAAGTGGGAACCACTGTTGTTAGCTAACTGCCTTTGTCAAAAACTTCAGCTCAAACTAAAGACAGATGAGCAAAGCCGGTACAACTCCACAAGAAAGGTGGATTTAGCAGTGCAGACAGACAGGAGTGGTAACTATCATTTTATCTCACACATGGCAAGAAAGTAATTTAAAAAATGTACCACTACAAAGCTTCCTGAGAATTTACATTAGGAATATTAAACCTTTGTAGTATTGTTCAAATGGCAGTATTTCAAAGTTTTACCAATGTACTAGAGATCCCATTAATGACCATCATTATTCACTGTGGTTGTGAAAGCTGATTTAATTTTAAAAAGCACCTTTTTAGGATCTTCTCCATCACCATATCCAGATCATCGTGATGCGAAACATTAATGAATCTGAGGATGCTCCGGGGAAGACTGTGGCCTTCTTGTGCCAAAACAACCAAGTTGTACATTCCCTGTGAGCCAATATGAAAAACAAAATCATAACAGCAATGATGGCTTATTCACCGAGAAAGTATCTAAATAATAACACAATACAATGCCGTTTGTTGCTTTTATTGCAGAGGGCCAGAGCCTGTGGAAGTTTAATTAAGTTTATCACAGGGTGATGAGATTATAGCTGAAGTAAATCTGTCACCTGAGGGCTGCCTGCTAGTGCTGCTCTGCTATACATTGATATGGCCTGCTCAGCCAAGGATAATGAGTCCTCTTGTGTGCCGGGGGAATGGTAGTAGTAGTAGTCTCCCATTTTCAGTAGAGCTATAAAAGAAGATAAATACTTTCTGTTCAGTGACCAGATTGACAGGGAAAATGGATTTAAAGCAAAATGAAATGAGAAAAACTCACCGAAAGGATGCGGGTCATAGTTTAATATAGAGTAGTTATGATATCTCCACTGACATTCATAACCGAGATTCAGCTCCTGCATTTCGGAGAACGAGTGCACAGTGACAATGATGATTTTAATAGAGGAATTATGTGCAATTTGTTCATCAGCTTCAATCAGAATTCCACACGTGATTGCAGGATAATGACGAAAAGCCCAGGCTGTGTTTTGTTTTAGGGTAGTCATAATGGGTTAAACCAGTGAAAGAGCATGCACTCACCTCGCACAGGTGTGCAACATTGCTTTGGGCCAAAACCAGACCAGTTTGAGCTGCCAAAAGGTACTTCACAAAGGCTTCCTGCCTGTTGGAAACACAATGAAACAAATGTGACGAAGCAAAGACAATAATAAAGAGCAGTGACAATGATTAAATGAGGGCATTTGAAAAGTAATTGAAATTAATGTTTCCCTACCAAGAGCCCTGGAGGTAGGCCTGAAGAGCCTCTCTGATCATAAATCCAAGGTGTCCATTTCGCTCACAGACCTTTTTCAGCAGACTGCATAGAGGTTAAAGGACACCTCATGTATTATGGGATATAATTAACTCCACCTAAACAGAGAATATTTTAATGTGATCTAAAAATAGTTCCGAATTGTTGAGGTCATTCTAAACACAAGCATCAACAGCTGTAGGAGGAGCCTCTTTAAATTCATAAGATACCAGAGGAACATTGGTAAGCAGAATCTCTCTGCGCCAGACAATAATGCGGTGACAGTGGCTCTTATTTTTAGATATGCAAATACTGGGTTCTGACCTTGAATTAGCCACTGTCATTGAAATTAGATGCCACTAAGCTGCAGGCTACAGTGCAACAGCCCATAACAAAGCTTTCTTCAACAAGCTAATGAAAGCCCCTTACATTACAGCTCTCTTCATATCCTGAGACACCCCTTCCAGGCTTCCCATCGAAAGGTACCGAGCAGCTTCCACTGATGCAGTGACATGACCAAACCGAGACGCGTTGAGAAACTGCTCAAAAGCAGCACTCTGCAGATCATTAAAAAAAAAAACAACACAGTTTGGCTCGTTGATCATACCTGGATAAAAATCCATTTCTGAAGTTGTGGAAATCAAACCTCATTTCTCCAGGGTCTATCTGGGTTCATCCCACTGAGATGATAAATCCCCAGGTTGAACATCCCATCATCGCTCCCGTTTAAAGCAGCTTGTTCAAAGTATTTCGCTGCATTTTTGTGGTCCTTCAGTACAGTCCCATGATACCAGCCTAAACCATTCAAGGCGTTAATTGAGCCCTAAAGCAAGGAAACAGACGCCGGTATTCATAGCGAATTCACACACTGTAAACACACCAACTGACTTGTACACTCTCACCATTGCTGCTGCTTTTCTCAGCAGCCGAAAAGCTCGGGTGTAGTTTCTTTTCACTCCCTGGCCCTGAACGAATCAACATCAATCAGTGAATCGATAACTGTCAAAACACAGACGTCGCACACACATGCGCACATCGTTCAATTCAATTGTAAAATAGCCATTTTTACAATCTTACACTACCTTCATCAGGAGGATGGAGTAGTCGTACATCGCAGAGGGATCCTTCATTTGCATAGCACTTCTCTCAATCCATTTCGCCGCACTCACTATGTCCTTTGAGACTCCATTTTGTCCCCAGTACAGCATTGTTCCCATGCGTTTCTAAAGTTAATGGAGTTTTTATTAGCCTATTCTGAACACTGACTGTGCTATTGACCACAAAGGAGAAATTAAAGTACGACTGAATTTGAACGGGTCACATGCACATATTTCAACAGTTCATCTTGTCAGAAGTCAAAAGATTTCGTGTAGCTCACATACCTGAGATTCGATGTCTCCTCTCTCTGCTTGGAATTTCAGATACTGGAAATCATCTTTTGTCTCATGTGTCAGTCTGTTTAAATCTTCTTCATTGTTTAAATAGATATGTTCAGTTGAGTGTTGCTTTAGAAAAGACAAACAGATGTGTTATGATAGTAAACAACTGGTGATACTAGCACTATGAGTAAAAACGCTACCGTCACTATATTTGACTACTACAGTTACAGCGGTTAATTTACCAGCCATCAGAATACGGGTACACTGTGGTAATAAATGGATGGAAATGGACAGCAACAATACTCAGGTAAGTTGTTCTGGTTGAATGATACTTAATTGGTACTAAGGGGCTCAAAGTGTGCCAAGAAATCATCACACACCAATACAAGGCAGGATGGATAAGGTTCGTGCTTTCATGTTTACACCAAATTCTCATCCTAACATCTAAATGTGGCAACAGAAATTGCTTCCAACCTCAAATTGTCCATTTTTGATGAGCCTGTGTGAACTGTTGCCTCAGTTTGCTGTTCTTAGCTGACAGGACTGGCAACCAGTGTTGTGCGTTCAGAGAAGGTCTTCTGCATACCTTGCACGTGTCTTACTTTTCCCTTCCAATCTGCTCGAAGCATTCTAGCCAGTCTTCCCTGTTCTCTGATATTAACGAGGTATTAACACCCAGATATGAAACATTTACCCCTTTTTGGAGCATGTAAACCCTAGACACGGTTGTGCGGTAAAATCCCAGTTGATCAGCTATTTCTGAAATACTCAGACCAAGCCATCTGCTACTAGCAACCATGTCACGTTCAGCATCACTTAAATCAGCACTTTTCCCTATTTTACAGCAGATTGTTCTCATTCAGTAGGCTGTCTCAACCATGTCTAAATTCTTAAATGCATTCAGTTGTTGATTCTGACTGACTGATTACAGAATTGGCTGATTTATGTTACTGAGCAGTTTAACAGGTATACCTTAAAAACGGGCAAATCATGATTATGTGGAAAAATAATAGACTAAAAATGGCTTTTATACCAGTCTATTGACTGAACTGTAATTGTAAAGTTAATAATATATAAAGAAAGAGTGAATTGGGGATTTAGGGAGCTACAAAAGTAAACAAAAGTTGTGGCGTTGAAAGAAAAAGCCACAGTATAATTGGAAAAAAAAAAAGTGTAATCTTGTCGTCTTGATTATCTTATTTTCATAATCACTGGAAGATAAAATTGTAATTTGAATTAAAATTAAAGACGCTGTGTTTGTGAGTTCGAGTTTAATGGCCTTTTAGAGCTTTTTCAGTAGAATGCTGCAGCTTGAACAATGTGAGAGCCGAGACAGAGAACCCAGATTGTGCAACACTTTTTTTATAGCCACTTTAAATAATCTCAAGATACAGTCAAAGGTTAAAAACAAAAGAAACTAGCAACTAGCTTTTTCCTTTTTTTGTTTTCAAGTTAACAAATCAAAGTCTGCCCAAGCCTGACTGACAGGCAACATAAGCTAACAACCCAGCACAGTCATAACACTGAGATTTAAATAGTGCTGAATCCTGATTGGTGCACAGAAGTGCATGACATCATTGTTTTGTCTTTAAGCTGAGCCCACACCACCGAGAAGAGACAAAACAACACGAAAAGAAAGAGAAAATAGAAAATAGGTTTTCGTTGCTTTTATCAAGATTGGATTCAGGGGGTTGTTGTCGGCTCTTAAAAAGCTCGGTCAATATGCCACGGAAAAATGATCACTACTAGGCTTGCTACAGTTGTTTTCTAGGTGCACTGCCTTGTTGAAGCTGGAATAGACAGTAAGGTCTCTCTGCTGTTTTCATGTACCTCTGTTCATTAGAAGCAGCTTATTTAAATACTCGAAGAATCAACAGGAAATCAGTCGGATGTAGCCTTTTCTCATAGTGCGCTCCTCATCTTTCAAGTGCAGTCCCTCCATTCATCAACACAGCTAAATCATTCACAAATGGCTGGACTAACAGACACATTATTATCATATTCTGAAGGCAGAATGTCATTTCCACAGCATGCGTGCATGTTTGTATGAATACATTTGTGTCTGAATGGCTCTTTTCATACTGCGCTTTGTGTGTTTTTAAGCTAAGCTCGCTGTAGTTGCATATTCAATACACGGATATGAGAGAGGTATCAATCTTTTCATCTTATTCTTTAAAAAAAACTTTAAAGGAAATAAATACGCAGATCTAGCTTTTTGAATATACTTTAACAAACTGTATGTTATAGCATATCTTATATGAGCCCATGTAACAAATTCCCTCACCCCATATATAAGCCCCTCACCCCAACCTCCCTCCCCTCAACCCAACTGGTCGTGGCAGATGGCCGCTCCTAGTTTCTTAATGTTAAAAGGGAGTTTTTCCTTCCCACTGTCACCAAAGCGCTTGCTCATAGGGGGTCATATGATTGTTGGTGTTTCCTTTGTAGGGTCTTTACCTTACAACAGAAAGCACCTTAAGGCTGCTGTTAAATAAATACAATTGAAATGAAAGATGTAATTATATTTTTGTTTCGGTAATACTGTTGTATAATGAAGAGGCAAAGGTAAGCAGATAAGCAGCAGACAACAGAGATAACCACTTGATACTGATTAAGTAACACTATGTTAAGGAGGAGCAGGGATGAGGCGGAGGGTTGCAAAGTGGCTTACAGAGTCAGTATCAGCAACAGACAAGCTAGAGCAGCATAAAACTGAAATATACTTTAATTATCCCAGGCTTGATTAATCATTTACTGGAATAAAATATTTATAGTACAGCCTACAAGAGATCTGGCTATCTAATGTTCAGATGATTATCAGCTGAGTGATTCTCTGACGTGTGCTGGCATTAAAATCAGCTGCTATCAGCTAATCTGTTTGAACTGTTGGCTCAGCTTGACTTCATGCCCTGCATGAACTAACGCCACTCTCAACTTACATGAACTCCTCTATTATCAAGGCTATTATTAGTTATTCAAATAAAAACACAAATTCAGAAGTGATCTTAATGATCTAAACATACCTTGTTTTCATATATCCTGGAACTGTCGATACAGGTCTGCGTTCCAATGTTGGAATAGTAGCTATAAGCCATTTCCAAGTCTTTAGGAAACCCATCAATTCCCATCAAGTGTTTGTACCCTGCATGCATCAGGGCAAAACGGTCATCACCTAAGGCACCAATCAAACTATAGACGTGACCCTGAAAAATGCAAGGGGGTTAGTATTACCTGTTACATGCAAATTGCTTTACGTGCGATAAAATAGTAATTAAGATACAACGAAGGCACTGACTGTACCTGCTCATGATTGACTGAATGTCCCAGGCCGGAGAGATGGATGGTGGCCAATAAGAGAGATGCTCTGTGATTTCCTAAGCAGGAGGATTCTTGTAACGCAGCCATTGATTGGGATGTGATTTTCATTTGTGCTTTATCCACAGAGAACATTGTTCCGACTGTCTCCTCAAACAAAACGCTCCCGAGATCCTTCAAGTTTAAAGACCCTTCAGAAACAGATAGGTGTTTATTAAATAATGTATCCTCTATAAATCAGATATTTTATGGTGATTGAGGTTATAACCAGATAAAAAATATCTACCTGTTCTGATTTCCACCTCCTTTCTTAGCAAGAGCTGAAAGAGAGTGCTGTACTTTATCTGTGTTTCAAACGTCCATGTTTGTGTGCATGTTTTCTCTTTTGATGCAAACTGACCCAACAGCCTTAAGAAGTCGGGGGTACAGACATCTGAAATGAAACAAAAAAAGGAACCTGTTCACAGCATTCTTTCCATACTCAATGGGTGCACTTTCAGTGTATTGACACACTTGATATTAGGTCTCTTAAAGGTCGCTCCACCCAGAATGGTGCAACATGGCTTTTATAGGAAATATAAAAAATATTTTTTTACCTCTACTTACTGGCGACAGGAGGTAATTCTCATTCACTTCTTGCATAAAAGCTTTTGTAAATGCTCTTATTTCCTGACACTCTTGGTGAATCCTCTGCAATTCATTTAATGTTGGCATGGAGTGAAGTTGGTTTTTGATCTGTGATATGAATAAATCTGTATTTGAAATTAGCATTAACAGGCATAAAACAGAGGAAATAGGAAGTATTAAGCCTAGTTAATGGTCATCATGACATCACCGCAGCCTCATGAGTATTTATACTGTCATATGAGGTGTGCCAGACTCGCTGCAGTCTTCTCCTGAATGGTAAATGTCATCACCTTGAAAAAATGTATGCGTCACCACTTGTACAAGAATGGAAAAAGTCGCAATCAAAAGCTAACGTTTTTTTCTCAGTTGTTGCAATAATGTGTCATCTCTTCAAGCTATTGCAGCATCTTCATCTCTGTAATCTAAGAATATCTGATCTGTACTGATTTATAATTGAAATAGTGATAAAGTGATGTTGTATCAGTGGGCAAAAGATTAAGCAAACAATGTCCCTCGTGTTTAGTTCTATTTTGGTTTGGGTTTAAGATATTTAGGATACAATTGTCTTTAAAATGTAACTACTGTGCTCTTTTCCAGTTTTGTTTCTTTATTCTTATCTTTCCTTGATTCACAGCCTAAAATCGTAGCAATATTTTACTGGCCCTTGGTGCATCCTCTTGGTTTACCCACTATCTAATACAAGCTGTTATAGTTCCTCTCCCTTTATACACATTTTAGTCTAGATTCATATGATTGGAGGCTTGACCAGCAAGTGTGTGGGGTTTCTGTGCTCACAGTGAGAACTGTGCTTGATGACCCTATTACAGATATCAGATGATACTGACATCATAAAGATTCACAAGCAGGAAAAAACTGTCTGAAAATGAATGTTCAGAGGGATTTGGCCTCCCTGAAGCCTTGACCTTTGGCTTGTAGGGATTATTTTCACAAAAACCATCATTGTTTAAAAGTTCCATCATTGCTAATAGTATGGTGGTCAGACGTTTACACTCATCATGGGCATGAATGTCATGGTAATGTGGGGCTTTTAGTGATGAATACTGTTGTTTTTCAAGGCTGGAATGATTGAACAATATATCTGTAATGGTTGTAAAAAAATCACACATATACAAAACACTCATTTAGATCTTTTAAAAGGTGGTTCAGGAGGTTCTATCTCTTATTCTTGTTTAGAATATTTACTAAAACTAGTAGTTTATCCTTACATGCATAAAATGATTTATTTGGCAGCACTTGCTGGATTACCAAAGCTCAGAACTTATTTAGCATCATGCTGCTGGTTACTGATACACTGCAAAAAGTGGATGGAATAACGAAGAAGGAGAACTACCTCAAAAAATAATGATCCCGAACACACATCAGAACTGGTTTTGGAATGGATATGCTTCTGCAATGGTTTTCCCAAAGCCCCGACCTCAACCTGATAGAAAATTTGTGGGCTACACCTACAAGCCTGATCTGTGCCAGTAAAACCAACCAATTTGTAAGAACTCTCCCAACTCTGCCAAGAGGAGCAGGCAAATATCCAGCCAGAATTCTGCCCATTTGAATTAGAATGAAGCTTCTTGATGGCTACCAAAAGTCCAGTGGAGGTGCAAATTTCTGAAGAACCATACACCCATCCATTTGCTTTGACTTATCCAGGGATGAATAAATGAATGATTAAAGGACATTTAGCAAATAATTAATCAAATATTAGTCGGGGTGTATGCATATATTTCAACTGGTATGTATAATTTTGATCCTGTGTGGATTAGAAAAACTCCAAAATGCATCCAAACTTGTGTACCCAATTTTTGAAACTTTTTAAAAGATGACTGCAGTACAATCAATCCAATCCAGAAAAGAACAGTTCAAAAAATAATTTAAAAAAATTCTTACCAAAACTGCATATATATGGCAGATAATAAGGAAAAACCTACAATGTCCACTAATGCATATGATTTTATCACTGCCTCATTTCATTACCTGTGTACTCTTACACGTGGTCAGGCTGTTTGCTGACATAATTTGGCATGAAACATTAATACTTTATGACCTTGAGATCATAATACACTGTTTTAGAGTGAGGCTGTGAAATGGTAAATGGTAAATGGCCTGTATTTATATAGCGCTTTACTAGTCCCTAAGGACCCCAAAGCGCTTTACATATCCAGTCATCCACCCATTCACGCACACATTCACACACTAGAAAGCAAAGCAAATGAATACATTTTACCTCTTTACACTTACCTGTTTGGTTCCAAAACGGTAGTATCTGATAGGCCCAAAATACCCACGGATGCCTTGTAAGTAACTGCCTCCTCCAATCACAAAGTATCCATCTGTGTCATCGTAATGAATGCTGTCCTGAAATCTATGACATTTAATACCACTCAAACCAGCAATCACAATCACTGAGCAAACAATATTTATTTTCCAGAAACTTGGCAACAGTGTGTTTTGCTTATTTTATACCAAAAATCATAATCGTACTTGTATAAATGTTTCTGAGTTTGACCATCCCATGTGGTTTCCAGCAGCACCTAAAAGTCAAACATAACAATACATGAGTCCTGAAAAACCTGCTCAGCTGTAAACAACTCCAAATTGCAGTACACACTGCAATCGCCTGGAGTTTCCCAGCTGGAAATAAATCATCTTTCAAGATCTTACAGCTGTTCCAAAAGGAAACAAAAGCTAGAAGTCCAAAGAAAACCCAGCAGAAAAAGAATGACTATAAGATGTTGCCAGAGCATTATTTTGATTTTTATTCCTCATCCCACCACCAGAGTCATTCTTTGGCGTTTTACCTCTGAGTCCTGTATGTAATAGTCTAATCTAATCCATTTCAAGAGAGGCAACATTGCTTGGACTTGAAATGCTTCATCTTCTCCAGTTATCTTCCGTGCCTGAATTATGATGTTCCCTGTACGGCACATATGACAGTCGTGAATTTCACCACAGGAGATCCAAAGCTCCTTATTAATACATATTTTTTGTGCTAGCAATATTAATAAATCACATCTGCGCAAAAACCACAAATCTTCACTCACAATCATGTTGTGACACCTCTTTGTAATCCCCTATCAGGTGTACACATGAGCTGGCATGACCCACCTGTGTTCGTAAGCTGCATCAGAACTGTGTCATATAAATTTTTTCTATTGACATGATGGATGATCCCACAGAGCTTCTTCTGACACCATTTCAGTAGGTATATCCACACAGATAAGGTGACGCTGGAAGCCAAGCAATGAAACATGATTTGACAAATCATTTCTTCATCCACTCAAGCATGAGGTTGAATTTAAAACGCGGCACTGTCTGTTAAAAATGCCTGACCTCGCTGTCTTTCATTGACCGTAAGTAAAAAGCTTATATGCTCTGGTGAAGCGGCTTGGTGAAGCTTGTAAAGTCATTTAAAAAGACACTGAAGTAAAACTAAAAGTAGAGTGTGTTCTAACTGATGCCTGCACTGAAAAGGAAATGATCAGTGACTTGTGACCTGTCATTCTGCTGATATAAACACAAAGCAGAGCTATTATGTACTTTATATTTGAGGAAAATGGGCCGGAGAGTACCTTTGAAACATATAATATCAAACACTCTGTTTTACTTAATCCTTTGATTCAACATTTGGAAACTCAGCTGGAGATTTTTCATGCTGTGTGGCTGAACTTCATACTAAATAAGTTCCAGCTAAAATGAGGTAAATTAGAAGTCCAACCTGGGCTGTGTCACAGCGTGACGCCGGGTTCTCTCTAGAGCTCTGTCAATAAAAGGCTGGAACCTGCGGATCACTCCAAAGCGCTCACCAGTACTTGCCAGAGGGAACTTTAGCATATCGATTATGTCTGGGATCAAACAGAACAGCGAAAGGCTCCATTTGCAAACACTTGCATGTGTTCTTTAAAAGCTTTGGAGATAAAGATGAGACATGCAGAGGAAATGACAATGTGATTAAGGGTCAAACCTGATTCATGTGGACACTGATGGATTCTGTGGCTGGTCATCTGCCACATTAGTTGAGCCGACCATGACGGGCAACCAGTGGGAGGTTTACTTGGCCGCTCAGAGGGTGGAATTATCTGCAGCGCTTTATAAATCCTCAACATGGAGCTGTGGTATGTGCTGAGTTCACTGCCATTTTTAAAGCTGCCCAGCCAACCACGGACTGTCACATTCTGTGTGTCCAAAATGTTCCTGTTGAAAAAGTCGCGTTGATATGAAATGGACGGAGGCAGTCTGAGCAGCACCTGGTGGATCCTGTAGTCACGGAGTCTGCTGCTTTTCCATTTTCTCCTGAAGACCACTAAATCTGTCTTCTGCAATGTGGACACCACCACCTCAACTGCAAGCTGACATTGCCCAGAGCACTGATACCGCACGCGGACCACCGAGCCATCTACCACTTTGTCAGGGACGGCGTCAAACCCTATAAAATTGTCAGGCGGGGTCTCACTGCTGTGGGCTGAAATGACTTGTGAAGCACACTGTCCCTGGGTGAAGAGAAGGAAAAGAAATACAATTAAATGAACATAAAGGGAAAACAGACTTGCATGAAGTTTCATTCTCTCAACCAAATTTGAAAAATGTATCACCAGTTAGTTACTAACTGCTTGTAGTAGTGTATATCGAAAAACGAGAGCAGTCTCCTGTGAGCAGAATAAGTGAGTGAATAAAATTGCTTACCATTAGAGCAGAAGCAGTGAAAATCTGTCCAAAAATGATGACATGAAACACATTCATCTTTTGTTGTTGTTTAAAACTGAATAAAAACCACAAGCAAATTTGACATTCAGAGTGGTAAGTAACATTGGCTCTCACTGTTTGACACTTCCAGAAAACATTTCCAAACAGCCGTGCAATGGGTGTACCATTGCAATGCAGCATTACCTGAAATTCTGGTGTTTCAAGTTCAGTGATTAGCATGCTTTTAAAGGGCTAGCGCCCACGAGGGCTCGGCTATATTTACTCTTGATGTGTAATAAAAGTGTTGTTTGATTCACTTTATTAGTGATTGTATTTGGGACCTTTCCATAAGAGTGAAGCATCAGAGCTGACTTAATCTGATGTACGTGAGCCAAGACTTTGTCATCACCCTGCGTCCTCTTTGGCCAACGCGCTTATGCAAGACTGAAAAACAACCTGATATGGCAGCCAAAATTAATTACCCATGGGCCACTGACTGTTTATGTTTCAAAGTCAAGGGCATGACATGTGCTAATGTTGCTGATGGGTTGCTTTAGGTAGCCACACATACACGAACATGGTCTATATAAAAGGTGGCTGCTGTTTTCACACACATATGCTCTTGATGGCATACCTATGTGTACAAGAGAATAACTTTTGAAAGCAATTTTATTGGATGTTATTGAAGAGTTGATTTTTTCAAGCAAGCAGAAAATGCTGTAAAAATATGCTTTTGTAGCTTTTTCTTTTTTTGGTGTACAAAATCATAGGTCATCACTTTTAATGGCTTTACAGGACATATGCAATTTTCAGTCTGTCTTTGAGGACCGTCTAACTACAGAGTATCCTGCAGTGCCACATGGAAAAAAGATTCCTTCCAACTATGTGAGTGGTTTGCCCTTTAGCAATAACAAAAGTTTGTTTCACTTTTATATTCCAGTGGCAGAGTACTTAGATGAAAGTCCGATACAGTTTGGGCAAATCAGCACAGTCCAGAACTGCAGCGCCGTCTCATCTGAAGACCCCTTCTTAACATCCTCCTCCTTGCCAACATGCCTTCCGTTTGCCTCTTCACAGTCTGTGCCTCTGCCCTTTCCCATGGCTCATGGCACCACCACCTTGGCGTTCATGTTCCAGGGTGGCGTGATGGCTGCAGCAGACACTCGTTCCAGTTGCTCAGGCCTCGTCGCGTGCCCAGCCTCGCAGAAGATCCTGCCCATTCACAGTCACTTGGTGGGCCTGACCTCAGGCACTTCAGCCGACTGTGCGCTTTGGAAACGTATTTTGGCTCGCGAGCTGCGGCTTTACCAACTTCGCCACGGTCGACGGTTGTCCACGAGTGGAGCTGCCAAATTGCTTTCGCACATGCTTCACCCTTTCAAAGGAACTGAGCTGTGTGTGGCTGCCACGTTGTGTGGGTGGGATGGAGGAGAGGTGGACGATGGATGTGATTACCATGGAGGCACAGAGACTGGTCCTGGTAGTCGAGGAGAAACAACAAAGAATCAAATGACTGAGCAGAAAAACTTTGTAGATAGCACCAATGCAAAGGTTTCTCTGGCAAAGGATGAACGCTTTTCTTTCTCTCAGCAGTGCTCCATCAGAAAGAAAATGAATTTATCTGGACCAAGGCTTTTTTATGTATGCAGTGATGGTACTCGCCTACGGGGAATGCTTTTCTCTGTGGGCTCAGGATCCCCTTATGCCTACTCAATTTTGGACCAAGGTGTTCACTGGGGGCTGACAGTAGATGAGGCCAAGTCAATAGCTAGAGAAGCTGTGTACAGAGCTACGTATAGGGATGCATATTCTGGAAACTGTGTGGACATGTATCACATCACGTCAAAAGGCTGGACACGCAGAAACCGGGAGGATTTGAAAGAGGAATATTACCGAGAAAAGGAAAGGCGAAAGCATGAGAAAACAGAGAGGCGGGATGTGGCTTTTTCTGACTAAAGACATGAAACAAACAAAAATGGCTTGGGAAGCGAAAGGCAAACATTGGGGAGTATTTTGGAGAGACGTGATATTATGGCATCTTTGCAGCAGTTACTAAATTAATGAACAGGACAGGCAGTTGCATCCTCCAGGCTATTTCTCAAATGATTTGGGCATGCATATCGTTCCCTCTAATAAACAGCTGATGTTTTGTTTGTGCTGATGATAAAAATGTATTCTAAGAGCACCCTGCTTGCTGGCATTTTGATTTAGATGTTAAAGCATTATGAATCATTTCAAGAATGTGAGATAATTACTACCTACTCCAGCATGCGGGTAAATCGCATAAACACAGAGAAACAGAAAATGAATAGTCTAAAAATCTAAATGGCTGGAGGCTGAAGGTCATAATGTATTACTGTGTGTAAGGGAACACGTTTAGCCGCAGCAATAAACGGTAAAGGGGCTGTAAACTGATTTGTGCCTGCTGTCAGAAGACTTCTGAAGTTCCTCTGACACTTCAATAAATTAATGAATAAAAGGAATTTTGCTGCCTGCTCATTTTGTTTGAGCGCTGTGGTCATAAATAAAGCATAACTGTAATTACTCAACTGACAATGACTCTATATTGCCAAGTATATTAGGGTAAAAGGTACAGAGCTGTCCATCTTCATCCTCAGTGTTCAGCTATGTTCTCTAACTTTAGTGAAGTCCATGATGGGGGACAGTTTGCAGTGTAACATCAGTGTTGTGGCACACTGATTATACTACATGTCAAAATGTTGTAATGAAGTGTATGATGTCCCGTTTCCATATATTAAGTATTGCAATATATCGTATATGAATGCATTTTTTTAATGACTAACATATGCATATGTGTGCAGCGAGCATGTCTTATGTGTTATTAACGGCATAAAATAAATTACAGCCTGGGATGCGTGACTGCAGCATCAGTGGGGATGCGCACTAGTACTACTGTATGATTGACTGCAGCTGTGTGAGTAAGAGGGGAAAGCCTCCCATTCTCCCCGACCTCATGCATAATTCCCATCTTTGGAAGTTCATTAATGGCAGAATTATTGAGCGAGTGAAAACAAACAAACAAAAAAGGAGAAAGAAAGCATTTGGTGGTCTAGATTTGAAGTCTTGCAGGGACCGACTCTTGGGAAAGTGAGTCGGCGTTATTTTTATAGCACCTTTAAACAGCATATGTCACAGAGCGTTTCACAATAAGAAACGGTTAAAAAGCAAAATATGAGGCAGCCAGACATTAAATGCACACAGGCAGATAAAAACACAAGGCGAAACAAGGCCGAACCTAAATCTAAACAAATTGCTTTCAGTTGCTTTCTAAAGGTGCCTGCAGATCTGACATTTAAGAGATATAGCCTCAAAAGCACAGTCTCCTGTCATAGTCCGAGAGCAGGCAGGACTCAAATGCAGATTCAGAAGGCAGTTCGGAGAGTTTATTAACAGTGATGTGAAAAAGCTATTTGCAGTGCCTTTCAAAAAAGGGAAACATCCACAGTCTCTATGTACGGTATCCAAGTCGATGGTCCGATAGGTTCCACTCAGTCTTTAGATTCGATAATGAAACAGACTTCTCTCTCCGACTCACACACACAAATCCTCCTCGAGGAAAACAAAGAAGACTGCTGGACAGAAGAGAGATGGTGAGAGGTGCACACATGGAAACAGGTGAGCAGACTTACGTAATGAAGGTAAGCATCTACCGCGACTCAAACACCAGATGAGGAGCAGGTGAGTTAATTACCACAGGTGTGCCGGAGGGCGGGGACCAAGAGGATCCTGCCTCTGCAAGGGCGTGCACGCACGCACACACACACCCACAAACAGACAGACAGACAGAGGAGAGAGAGAGTCATGGTGGAGAGCGAGGAAAACTGGCAGGAGTACCACGAGGACTGAAGGACTATGACAGTCTCCTTTCTTGTTGAGACTGGAGCGAGAAAACAACCATCAAACCCTAATCGGAGAACCTCTCCAGCAAACATTCTGACATTCAATGACTATTGTTTGCATGTCTATTCAAGCCATTCATGTCACATTATGATTGAAAACAGCTACATAATGAAAGGTGTACAGATAATTAACCTGGCTTTCTGCCTCAAGTTCCTTCAGCAATGTTGACTTTCTATGTCTTTTGATAGACATAAAGGTAATTAGACCGAGCACTAGACAACAAATGCATTAAAAATATAAAAGATTTGTTAATTTGTATTTTAGGGCTCAATGATTATAGCAAAAATCACAATCTGGATATTACATCAAACATTCATTAACTTAAGCACGCAATATGCATTTAGTGGCGTTTTTAAAAAAGTGTCTTTTTACATGAGATTTCCATTATTCAAATGAAAAGCTAATAAATTAATGAAAAAAGAGATGTCTGCCAGTCCACACGATCGGGTCCATTAGACATCTGCAAGTGCAGTCTGTGGTAAAAGAAGCTCATGCCTCAGTGGACTCATGCACCTCAGGAAACCTGCAGTGAAGCCTGGGGGCGAAAATGCTGGAGAGCTGAAGCCGATGACCAACCAACACCTCCTCCTCCTCTTCTCATGCTGAAAGCAGAACAAGGATAAACCCTCAGTGATCCCAGGTGATAAGGAGTCAAAGGCAGCTGCAGGCAATCACTAATGATCCCTCTACAGGATCACTTACAGCAACCTGCTTCTTCTAGATAAATATTTTCAACCACAAACCTCCTTCTGTCATCTTGCCTTGAGTTAAACTAAACTGTGAGCATGGTTGAGCTTTTTAGGGAGGAGCACTGTAAAGGCGGCTGATTCATAACACAAAACAACAGGTTCATAGCCAAAATTCATCCAAATAACTGAAAGTTTTTATTCAGTTATCTTGTTTTTGTTATCATTAGAAGCCAAAATCAAAACTGAAATTCAAATCACTGACTCTAAGGCTATGTTCACACTGCAGACGAAAGCGCATCAAATCCGATTTTTTTTTTATCCTATGCGACCCATATCCGATCATGGTTTGACAGTGTGAATGGCACAAATCTGATATTTTCAAATCCGATCTGGGTCACTTTCGTATGTGGTACTGAATCCGATACATATCCGATGTTTTAGAAAGCGACTGCTGTTTGAACGGTCATGTCGCATTAAATCCGTCTTCTACATCACTGACACAAGACAGATGCCAATTATCAGCGCCGGAGAAGCACCCGAGAAGACATCGCGATCGCTTCCTGGCCATCCCATGTAGATGTCAGTGAAACTGTTTGGAAGACAACGTTGGAGAAACGTGAACATTTTATTTGTACTGTATAATCTGCAGATTCTGACAGAAATCTGCAACTATCCTTTGAAGCACCGCTCCTCTAAAACAGCAATAAGGATAATTATTAGGTTATCTAAATTATTATGTAAATAACAAAATAACTTAAAGCAAAAATTGGGAAACGTAAAGTCTTTATATTAAGGCCATCAGTCAAACAATACTGTTTGCTCTGGGTCTAAACAGAGCGTGTTGTGTGTGACGTCTTCTTTTGCGCATGCGGGCTGCTTTGAGCGTTCACACTAGAGCGCGTTTGCTGTCGCATTTTATTTGTAGTGTGAACAAGCAGACAAAAAAATCGGATTTGATCAAAAAATCGGAATTGAGCATTAAGACCTGCAGTGTGAACGTAACCCAATTTATAAGAAAAGGTATGACTGGACAACTGATTGGCTGGTTGGAAAGAATGTCACTATCTAGTCTAGTTTGCAACTATGCAGACAAAATGTTACCATTTTAGGCCGGTTGTCACTAACAGTTTCCTGCTGGTATTACTAAGCAACAGAGGTTTTTTATATAGAGAGGTATGTGCTGACCGTCCAAGGCTCTGAGCACAAGACTTTTGAACTTGACTGAATTTAATAGGAAGCGAGTGCAGAGCTTTGTGCTTTGAGGAGGAAACAAGGACAGAATAGTAAATCAAAGTTTGAGTCTACAAGGAGAACTGAGTCCAAAATTTGAGTGAGCAATAGTGTTTCTCTTTGCTTGGCCTCTTCAAAGCTTTTTGTTCAATTTTGGTAGTTTTTTACTTTCATGCAAACTGCAGCTGAGAGCGGAATGAGCTCCACTAGAGTTGAGCAAAAAGCACAGTGTCACAGACCCAGCCTTACATCAGTACATCTGTTTTGTTTTTTTAACTTTGAAAATATATGACCCTAACAACCAGAAGATTGGCAAAAATTCGCTGACAGCTCCCCCCCTCACAAGCTAATTCAAGAACATGTTTTATGCTTAGAAATCTTTCGCTGTGAGCTCACACATCCTCAGCACTAGATTGATTACTGCCTGGCTTTGTTTTGTGCTGCCGAAGTAGTTTTGACATTAATGAACCTCCATAGAGCCTGGTAGAAGGGATCTGAGGAGTGACCTCAGGGTTGCAAGCTTTCTTTCTAGTCATATCACGGAACACTTGTCTCATCACCACTTGTTTAAAGGCTCTCTTGTTTCTTAGTCATCAGACAGAATTCAGGCTAAGACATGATCAAAAACATGGTTGTGCAAATGAAGGCTGCACCCTGTAGATGATTACTTTTTACCTCATTCAGGTACTGAAACGCATGTTTCTGCTGCAGCGTGAAAAATAAATTCTTTTAAATTAAAAATATCCAAAACAATTGAGGGATAAATGAAGCACAGAAAACACACAACTGTAAGATTAACAACTTAGCATTCCTGTTTTGCAGTGGTTTTGTTTGTCCTTGAAAATTTGCACATTTCTGGTTGGAAGTTACTCACCCAAAAAAACAAAAAACAGTCACCACAAAAATCAGCTTAAAATTTCAGACTGATGTTGTATATGGAAAACACATCTCAAACTGAAATAAAATATGCTATGAAGTGTGGCGAGGGTGGTAATTACAGTCGCACAAATGTTTTTAGCAAATGAGAGAACGCAGCTGGCAAAAATTCCTCTTTTAATGCATCTCTAAGTGACAATTTTCTGGTCCTGCTTCTAGGTGAAGCAACTGGGAGAAATGGAAACTCACTGAAGTTGATTATGCAGACTAGCTACATTTAGTCAGATTAAACAAACACCACACGGCTTTCAAAGAAGCCACAACACCTAACCAGGAACTGCTGAAGGCAATTAAACAACACCTGCTATGTTTTTGAAGATATTTTGTCATAGATGTCGATTATTTCAGCTGGGGACGCAGATGGACAGTGGTGATATTTACAGGAGATGCATTTGTTTCTACCAATAAAAAAAAAAAGAAAGACGCATAACAATTAATTGTTTTAAAAATTGCTGTGACAGTTCTCAGTGAGGCACCACTGCCATCAACTGGTGCAAACCTTTTTACTTCAATTTTTTTTTTAACACCTGGGACATGATTAGAAATATGATTATACACAGCTTTTTTATCTCAGTCAGCAGCGGTACGATGTCTTCTCTCTTCTGGCTCCATGCACACATAGACAGGTCGATAACAATGAAGGTGCCAGAAAGAAAAAGAGGAGAATCAATGTTAGTACATTTTTCTCAAAAAAGTAAGTTGTAAGCTACTTTTTTTTCACCTTTTTGCAAAATAATACTGCCTGTCCATCTGGTTTTGAGATAGACTGCGTTACATAGGTGAGATGTATATGCAGCAGATTTCTCACCTGCACATCCATGATGCTTATCTCCCATTGACTCTAATCCTAAAGGTGATTTATTGCATTGAGATCTGGCGACTGTAAAGGCTATTTATGTACAGTGAGCTTATTGTGCTGATCAAAAAAACAGTTTGAGATGATTTAAGCGTTGTGACAAGATGCGTTATCTTGTTTGAAGGAGGTATTACAGAGTGGGTACACCGAGGTCATAACAGGGATGGATATGGTCAACAACAATACTCAGGTAGGCTGTGGCATTTAAAAGACACTCACTACTAAGTGAGCCAA